AACGAGAAAAGAAGAAGAGGGAATGGAGAGAGGAGCGAAAGTGTGTGTGAAAGTGAAAGTGAAAGTGAAAGTGAAAGTGAAAGTGAAAGTGAAAGTGAAAGTGAAAGTGAAAGTGTGTGTGAAAGTGAAAAGTGAAAGTCAAAAGTGAAAAAGTGGAGGCTGTATACTTATGTAATAGGAACAGGAAGAAATCGATAAGATAGATCTGTAGAAGGTCGTCTAGGGCGGGTATATACAACTACTACATGTGCGTGTGTGTGTGTGTGTGTGTGTGTGTGTGTTAGTAGCATCTGTGAATATGCGTTGCGCAATACGCGGATCAGGTACGAGACTACTCCTCACAGAGTAGGTACCGGTACGTCCACAGGATGTGCCAGGGTCGCTTGCCTGCGCCATCCGTGGGTAGGTGTAAATCTGGCGATGAAAATCTGGCGATGAAAATCTGGGATAGGGTTTTTTTTTTACTTACTACTACGTGCTACGTGCTACTACTACGTACTTCATGAGTGATTTCTAGAAAGTTTGTGGCTCGTCGTGTTTTGGTTGGCGGAGAGAGGAGGGGGGGGGGGGGGTTTCGGCTTGGGTTAGGGCGGTTCGCGGTTGGCGAATCTGGCAGGCGGGTATCGATTGTTATCTTCGATATATCGCGGTAAAGAGGTGAAGAACAGAATATAAAAATGAATTGCTGAATATATGCTTGATACCAACCTGCGTACGGCAATTGATTAAAGTACAAAAATCACACATATAAAATTGACGGCTATTGTTGAAGCCGTGTGGATAATGATTGTGTATTATGATCAGATTAGAGATACCGGTATATATATGTCTGTGTATTTGGTTGCTTTTCGTTCTGTCTGATTAGCCGCTGGCTGCTGGGATCGAGTTTAACTGGCTAGCTCGCTAGCTTGTGGGGTCGGTAAGTGACCGAAGGAGGGAGAGGAGTATATGCACGATGGCTGCAGCGCGCAAGAAAGATGGCGTGTTGCGTGCTTGCTTACTGGTATGCATCAGATAGAGAGAGGGATGCTGCTGCTGCATTTGCCTCCGGTGTGCGCGGGCGCGTGGCCGATAGACAGGCCACCTTTCATCTCGCTTCTACCCGGCGATTTGCTTTCATGGATAGGTATACTCTGTCAATAGAGAGAGGGGAAGGAGGGGGAGGGAGGAGCGAGGCCGGAGGGTCGCTTTTCCGAGCCCGAGTCCGAGTATACGGAGTAGAGAATCTTCTAAACTCTCGTGGAGTGGATCCCTCCGAGGAGGAGAGGGGTAGAGTCAGGACAGAGCGTAACGTTGAGGTCAAAGTCAAAGTCAAAGTCAAAGTCTATTATTTATTTTCTGTAAATATACTTTAACGAGTCTCGAGTGGGAAGCTTATCTGACGAATAACTCCGATGCGGTGCGACGACACGACGAGAGCCTACTGCACCGCCTGGGCGGCTCGATAAGATGGTACGTAAGATACGTAGGTAAGGCAAGGCAAGGCAAGGCAAGGCTAGGTAAGGTACGAGTTAAACCTGAGGTAATTAAGCCTGAGGTAATTAAGCCTGAGGTAGCAATCAACAACATAGTTGTAACACACACCTTGCCTCATGCGCCCAAGAGAGAAAGTGGGAGAAGAGACGCTGGCGGCGCGGAATACGGATGGCGCGGGGGTTGTGTGGTGTTGGTGTCCCCCGTTTAGAGGGGTACGGTCGTACCAGCACGGCGATATCAGATCAGGTGTTGTTGTTGTTGCCGTTCTCGCTACCCCCGGTACCGTGGCTCGCTTGCAAGGCGCGCTCGCTTCTCAGCCTCAACCTCCACCGGTGAAGTGCAATTGATAGTTGGGGCGCGATGGAGAGCGAGTCGGCGCCGGACCAAATTGTGCTTTCCTCTTGGGTCATTCGAAGCATACGGAGTTCGGTTTACGGCCTCTGCGCCCTCAACCGAAGCTGCTGGCTGCTGGCTGCACCTCAGATCAGATCATCCATGGCGGTATTAGCTGTAGCTAGCTACGTATTGTAGCATCTTGCTCGCTAGCCTCTTATCTCCCAGCGACGCATTCTTGGCCTCAACTGCAGGGAGTCTGACTACTTAGTAGTACTACTACGACTAATGTCTGGTCTGTGTTACAGAAGATGCTGGATGCCGACCTTTCCATGAACCGAATGGATACCTGCGCACGGAACATCCCTCGATCCAGTGAATGAGAGAGGCTAGAACGTTCAAGCCTATTATACCAAGCCTGGGCATAGTTTGCGGGGGTTGATACTTTTCTGATACCCTGATCCCAATCCCTGATACCTGTGCTTTGTGTGTGCAGCGCACATCATTAGCGCCCTGTGTGGCTGAACTTGGCAGCTTTGAAATTTGAATCTTTTATTTTTTTTCCACTTTCCCAACCGCTCGCGGTCGGCTGTGCAATCTCAAAAAATCGTTCGAGAGGCTCTAGCGAAGAGACGCAACGCCACGCCTGACACGGGAACGGGACGAAGGAAGATGAAGATGTCGTTAGTATCTGTAGGTGTCAGGTCGTGGGTGTAAGTACAAGTGAGTGGAAGTAAGTGTAAGGGCTCTATTCAATTCGACTTTCCATTTAATCATTCTCATTTGACTTCTTTCTACAACTACGCCTAACGACCTTCACCTTCGGAATCGGGATCGGCTTGCATTCCTCTGCATAGCTGCGTCTGGGCACGGGCACGGCACGGCACCCACATCATCAATCACCCTATAGTAGCCTCCCCTCGTCGGATACTACCCTACTACGTACCCTCAAGTGCCATACTAACGACAACTAAGTACTGACTACACCACACCACGGATCAGCGGTGACGGATAGCTAGTTGTGAAGGGGATAGTACGACGACAACCTACTTGTCAGTAACTGACTTTTGACTACAGTCCACCCAAGGTACTATTCGTGACGGTGCAAGCTAGAACCCGACCAGCGCCCGCCGCTCGGAGACAGACACCTACCTGGGACTGGGGACTGCGCTGGACGAGACATTGGCGCTGCAGAGGCCGCGACTACGACTGCAGATCCATCAGATCCCCAAGAGTTCGCGAATTACGGAGAGCTTAACGAAGCCAGAGAGCGACAAGTGCAGCCCGCGTCCCGCAGTGTGGTGAGTGTATGTTCCAGCCACCGATGAGAGTAGTAGTGAGTTAGTATGTACAGCGAATGTGAGTGCGTTGAGTGAGCCGAGTGAGCTGAGCGGGTTGGATGCGTTGAGCTAGGTATGCGGATAGTTGATTATTTGTTGAGGCAGGCCAGCATCGGCACAGGTGATGAGAATTATTTATTATCATGGCATGGATCTCCTGCACTCTCTTTTTTTCTATTTCTCCCTCTTTCTCTCTCACCTCTCTCCATTTGTTCCGGGTCCGATTCCAACCATCCAGGTTCCAGGCTAGATCCAAGTACCAGTACCAGTACCACTCTCTACCTGACACCGTGTTGACGTTACACTGGCCCTAGTCCGCATTCATACATATCTCCTACATATACTCCAGACCTTATACGGGGATTCCAGCTCCACATTCCCCATTCACCTTTGTACCTTGTACGTTCTGGTAAAGCGCGACCGTTGATGAATTTATATTTATACGTTAGTTAGTATTTATATACCGTACGTACGTAGTATGGGTATCTGACTGGGTATCTGACTTATGCATTTAGACCCGCACCTGTACCCCCACTAATCCCACCCGGGGGGGGGCCCACCGCCCAGACTCGAACCAGGACCAGGTCAGCACGAGAGATTCTAGCCCTCCATCTTTAATCTCTGTCTCTGCCCTCCCCGATCGCTCTTTATTTCCTTCCGACAACTTCACCTATCGAGCCGGCTCGCTCAGCCTTGGGACTTGGAAAGCAACATCTTTATCAATAAATACAAGTACCATTGTTACCCGCCGTGCATTCCACCCACGCACTATTCCGGTCATATGGTCCCGTCCATTGTCGAGTGCATCTAACCACCATCTGCCAAAGGAACCCCCATCCCATCCCACCCCATCCCATCCCATCCCATCCCATCCGACCTCACCTCTCTCCCCCTTCGCCCCCCCCCCCCCCCCCCCCTTCTCAATCCCCCCAAATCCCGCTCAGGCCTATTGGTTCTCGCCTGCATTATTCAACCGAACGTCATTGCTTCACTTTTGCTTTGCTTTGCTCGCATTGCAATAAAAGCTCGTCCTCCCGCATCCTACCGCACCATTATTCATAACCAACCCACTCCCGTCCCACCCAATATCATATCATATCATATCATAATCATAATACCACCACCACCACCACCACCACCACCACCACCACAACCACCCATCAACCACCCGCTGGCTATCAACTGGCATTCTCTCTCCCCTTTGTGGTCTGATCCGAGCCTTCTCTCCTCGACACCATAATCCTCCTCCTCGATTCCATCCGACGCAACTCGACTCCCCATTTCACCCTTTCTTTCAATCGCACCTTCCGACCACAAAGGCCTAGGACTAAGAATAGGATCAGAACTAGGACTCTTGCACGATAGCTGGAATACGCCGTGCTTGGACTGACTGGTTATCTTTCGTCGTCCCGGAACCAAGGCCTCTCTGCCTCTCTGCCTCTCTACCTCTCGGTAAGTCTGATTGCCGCAACGCTCCGATGTAGCCTTCCCTCCCCTCTTCACTCCAGCGCCACCTACCGATTACCTACCTACCTACCTACCTACCTACCTACCTACACTTCGCATTTCTTCCCGCTCTTTCTTCTCACCTTACCCTACCGTTCGTGACAAAGATCAATAAGCAATCCCCAGCCAGAGCAGAGGGCGAGGCTGACCTGATCCTTCCGTCCAAGACGAACGCAGCATCATTTACGCCCTCTTCCTCCGCGTCGACTCTCTCAATGCAAAGTAGGAATTGAGGCCGCTTCGTCGACAACCAGAATCGTCGACCGACCGACCGACCGACCGACCGACCGACCGACAACATCACTTATCTCTTCTACCCTCATATCTAGCACAGAGACCGTACGGATGCCTTACACGCCTCCCTCCCAGCGATCTCCAGCTGCCTCTGCTCCTCACTCTCCCTCGAGCAGCCGTCGATCCTCCTCCTCGTACCAGTCTGGGCAGCTCCTCTCGCCAGCTTCCCACCGGCCCGAGCTGCCACGGTCGACTTCATACCTCAACCGACATCGGCGGACGACATCACTCAAGACGGCCTCTTTCGAACCCTCTCTCGAGCCCACACCTCCCGGAACAGCAGACCGAGAGGACAACGAGACGAGCAGTGGGATTGCTAAGGGCAGCATCAGACAATCACCGCCGCCGGTGACCGGCGAGGCTCAGGTGCCCGCAGGTGCAATCATCTCCCCGCCCGACTCCACACACAATTCGAGCGATGACGAGGAGACGAGAGATTCCAGAGGTCGGGATCTGGACAACTTGGCAGAGCTGCAAGCTGCCATCCGGATAATTGGGCAGCATAGGGAAAGCTCGCCAACCAGGAAAGCAGAAGAGATTGGAAAGGCCAACAAGGCCTTGACGCTGCTCATGCCCCCCTCAGCAGCCGAAGATCAGCCAGCGGCGCGCCATGTTGACTCTGCGACCCTCGGCACCTTGAGAAAGATCGCCCACCACCGTTCAAAGACCGAGACGGTCTTCTTGGATTTGCGATCGAGCGCACCCGAGACTCCCCTGACAGGATCCGAGGAAGAGTCAGTCACCGATGAGGAGGAGGAGGAGGAGGAGGGTGAATCCATGTCGCGACGAAAGCCTCCCATGCTCAGGAAGAAGTCTGGTGAGCTCGTTCGACCAGCGCTACGACCCTCGTCAGCCAGAAGACGCCCATCCAGCATGCCCGGCACCCCGACTTTCTCCAAGGCCGTGCACTTCGACTCTCACCTGGAGCACGTCCGCCATTTCCTTCAGGTTGATCGACCTTTGGCGGTCAGTGTCGGGTCTTCACCTGTCGAGCAGTACGATAGCGAGACGGAGTTTCCCTTCCCAGAAGACGTGACGCAGAATCCGCCGTTCGAGTGGGAGATCAGCGTGTCCAACTTCCCGGCCGAGACGCCGATTCGCCTGGCACTCCCGATAAGGGTCGAGCGGGTCTTCCTCTCCTCCGACAACAAGATGCTGGTTGGCAGCGTGGCAGTTGCCAACCTGTCGTTCCAAAAATATGTCGTGGCACGATTTACCCTCGACTACTGGAAGACCACTTCCGAGGTCGTCGCTGAGTTCAATCACGATATCCGGCAGCCACGGAACGATGGCTACGACCGCTTCAACTTCAACATCAAGCTTGCCGACCAAGCTAACTTGGAAGCGAAGACGATGTTCTTCTGCGTGAAGTACTCCGTGAATGGACAAGAGTACTGGGACAATAACAACGCTACCAACTTTCAGGTTGACTTCCGCAAGAAGGCGCGGCCGTCGAATGGGAAGAAGGGACCTCTCGGTGCAGCCAACAGATCAGCCGGCTCCTTACCGAGAAGCAACAAGAGGTCGCCGCTGGCCAACGGGAGACCCCGGTCCATGCCGGTTGCCTTCGATGACTTTGCTGATGGCTTCGACGCCAGGTATCAGTTTGATGATTTCAGGCAACCAGTCAGGGATTTTATGGCCGAGTCTGGCCCGGTTCGCCTGAAGGGAGTCAGGTCTGCTGTCAGCTTGGCATCGGACAACCTCACTCGACGGGCGCCGCAATCCAGCAGCCAGGCTTTCGGGAACCGATACGACTTCGGTGCCTCGCTGTCTGCTGCGATACAGGCGGCCAACCCGGGTGGCCGATCTGGTCACTCCACGAAGCCTGCCAGCAAGAAGCAACAGACTAAGAAGCCCGTCCCCGATGCCGAAGAGGGCTCCTCCCCCATCACCATGGCCAGCAAGCGAACGCTGAACAAATCATCACCGCCGTCATCACCCAGGACTATTGCGGCGGCGACCTCCACGCCGGGGACAGACTCGCCCAGACCTGCTGGTGTCGATAAGCCTGCTTTGGCATCCCAGTCATACAACGAGCTGTTGGACAAATACTGCTTTGTACGTGCCAAAGACCATCACCGGACCGGAGGATATTCGTAGCTAATCTTTTTCTCATCTAGTTTGGCTCTACCAGGAATTCCCCACAGCTGAAAGATGGAACCCTGCGAGCGGGTCAGCTCGATGGCAGTAGCGGAGAGGGCTTCGCTCTTGGATCTGCCGAATCTTCTACAGTGAGCTCCCCGATGATGATGGAGAGGATTCTACCACCCTCTCAGAAAGCAAGCACGCGGGCGTCGCGCTCTGCTTCGCCAGCTCCGATGACGGGCTTCGCTTCGGGTACGTCCCCGATGTACCACCACTTCCATGTTGGTTACCCGTTCCACGACACTCATACCGCAACAGCAATTCGGGGTTGAACTTCCACACTCTCGGTCTTCGGAGTGATCTACGAAAAAGAGCGATAATTTACTGAACGACGAACGACGATATGACTCCTTCTTCCGCCACGATTGAACGTTGATGCCGGGACGAGATTAGGGGGGACGCTTTCGATTACCTCTTTGCTGAGTGTGGTCACTAGTAATATGAAAAGGTCTGGTTGTGAGGGAGTCTGCGGAGAGAGAGAGAGAGAGAGAGAGAGAGAGACTCATGATCTGGTCCTGTGGTTCTTAATGCGTCTGCTTTTCCGTCTTTAATTGGCATTTGGTTGCGGGGACATGACTCGTTTTTGCTGTGGCGGTTGCGTGTTTTTTTCCTGTGGGCTTATTCTTGTACTTTTTGAGCGCGCCTTGCATTGCTGCTTTCTTCACATCGCCTGCGACCGGATGGACGGACCATTCTCACCACCTCCGGCGGTACATAGACTGGGATTGAAATTTTTAATAAGGTTTGCTCACGCGTGAATGGCGCGATGAGCAGAGATTGCCTTTGTTTTTGGAATAGGCAATAAAAGTTTGGGGGATGGATGGTTGCCGTTGGTGAAATTCGGGAGCGATAGGAAAGGAAAAGCCATGGGTATATACGAGAAAATGGGACTTTCTTTTCTACGCAGGCGGAGGCACGGGATGGAGGGGATGGAACTTGGGGAGGGAGGTGGATGTATGGAATTTGACACGATACGACGGGGGCTGCGGCAGGCAGGCCGTGCTCGAGTGAGGATTTCGGTTCCTTGAGGCTCTTGTGAGGGAAGGGAGGTGCTGTTGTTATGCTTGCTGGAGCTGGGGAGCCCGTTTAGTTAGGATTCGGAAAATTATGAAATGACCAAGTTGACGATATTTTCCCATGTGGTTCTATTCTTTCTGCTCACGAGTGATGTCCTCGAACAAGTGGATGAGGGGATGGATGAATGGAGTTGGATTTAGAATTGGATGATTGGAAAGGGACATAGAACGTTGGTATATTTGTACGAAGATGTAGATATATCCGGAAAAGAGGGGCGGCGACCACAGGGCTTGCTTGCTTGCTTGCTTGCTTGCTTGACTTGACTTGACTTGAAACGATTCGGAGAATTTTTCTCATCGTTGATTATATAATCATCTTTTCTACAAAGGTTTTATTTAACGAAAAGAGAGAGGGGGGGGGAGGGGGGTAAACAAATGCTTTTGTTTTGATTTTGGATTTTGGATTTTGGATTTTGGTCTCTTATCTTTCTTTCTTTATCTGATTTTATCTTATCTCTTATCTCTTTATCTCCTTATCTTCTTATCTCTTATCGGGGACGGGGACGGGGACGGGGTTTGGTTTGGGGGGTTTGGGGGGTTGGTTGGTGGTGAGTGATGGGATGGGATGGGATGGGGTTGGTTTGGTTTGGTTGGTTGGTTTTGGGGTATTTGATTTGATTTGATTTGATTTGATTTGGCTTGTTTGGAGGAGGGGGGAGAGGGGAGAGGGGGGGAGAGGGAGGAGGTGATGGTGTTTAGCGAGATTGGGGGGGTTTTTTTTTTTTTTTTTTTTTTCCCCTCGGGAATTTCGGTCTTTGGGGGGATTTTTTGGGGGGCGGGCGTGGGGGGTGGGAGACGG